TAATTAAATTTAGATCGCTGGTATGCAAATTCACGTAACCAAATTTACTAGGCTATTTTTAAATACGGTTATGGGTAGTGTAGTCTTAAGAACGGGGTTTGTATGTGACTAAACTGCTAAATGATAAGAGGTATGGAAATGTATTTGCGGGAAAAAAGCAGTTATGATGTACGCTAACAAAGAAAAGTTGGGAAGTGGATCTTCTTCTTGAGGTTATCTTAAGATGACTTCGGGGCTTAGCATCCCCGCGGCCCGGTCCTCGACCAGGCCTCCTTTTTGTTACACATCCCCAGGAAGCAGCCCGTTGCAGCTGTCTAATTCCCAGGTACCTATTTACTGCTAGGTAACAGGGGCATCAGGGTGAAAGAAACTTTTTGCCCATTTGTCTCCGCCCCCACTGGGGATCGAACCCGGAACCTCAGGACTACGAATCCGAAGCGCTGGCCAGGCACCCCCTAATGGATGAAGAAAGTTGGATCAAAATAACACAAGCCAACGAAGCATCAGCAAAACAACACTCCTATGGTGTACTGGCAAATAACAGGAGTACTAGAATTAAAATAACTGAATTAAAGGAACTTGTGTTCACATAAATAATGGATAGTATTGTTCTACCAAGAACACGGATAAATGTTAATATCAGGGAGCAATGAGCAGAATAAATAAATAAATAATTAAGGGACACAACAATGTATTTAATTGCATTCTTGTAAAGTACAGTTACACTATAAATATTTAAAGCTAGTGAATTATTTTGTCGGGGACAGGAAGCCTTCCTTCCACCACCCCACACACTCTCTCTCTCTCTCTCTCTCTCTCTCTCTCTCTCTCTCTCTCTCTCTCTCTCTCTCTCTCTCTCTCTCTCTCTCTCCTCTCTCTCTCTCTCTCTCTCTCTCTCTCTCTCTCTCTCTCTCTCTCTCTCTCTCTCTCTCTCTCTTCTCTCTCTCTCTCTCTCTCTCTCTCTCTCTCTCTCTCTCTCTCTCTCTCTCTCTCTCTTCTCTCTCTTCTCTCTCTCTCTCTCTCTCTCTCTCTCTCTCTCTCTCTCCTCTCTCTCTCTCTCTCTCTCTCTCTGTCTCTCTCTCTGTCTCTCTCTCTCTCTCTCTCTCTCTCTCTCTCTCTCTCTCTCTCTCTCTCTCTCTCTCTCTCTCTCTCTCTCTCTCTCTCTCTCTCTCTCTCTCTCTGTCTCTCTCTCTCTCTCTCTCTCTCTCTCTCTCTCTCTGTCTCTCTCTCTCTCTCTCTCTCTCTCTCTCTCTCTCTCTTCTCTCTCTCTCTCTATCTCTCTCTCTCTATCAACTCTCTCTCTCTAACTCTCTGTATCTCTCTCTCTCTCTCTCTCTCTCTCTCTCTCTCTCTCTCTCTCTCTCTCTCTCTCTCTCTCTCTCTCTCTCTCTCTCTCTCTCTCTCTCTCTCTCTCTCTCTCATAGAAGAGAGGCATAGGATTAAGTGAAATGTACCCAACAACTTGCCCCGCTCGGGAATCGAGCCCAGGACCCCCAACTGTGAGTCGAGAAGGAAGCTATGCTGCGAGAAAAGGCTGCTAAGGATAAAATCTTTCATAACGTATTATCAAACTGACTTGAATTCATATTCTAAGTTTAATCATATTATATAATTATACAATTTTCTATGCAAGTATTTGTTGTTTATGCTATAAGAAATACGTTTTCCTATATTTTAGTTAATGTATGTATTGCTATACTTTTTTAAAGTACTGTAGTCATAAATTCTAAACATTTGTATACCTTTCAAACATATGAAACTTGTAGCTTGTATTGCGTTAGTGGAGTAATCGAGAGGCACGCTGCCTGGCGTAGGCCGCTGCTAGTGTAGCGTCAGCAGGCCGTGGACGGAATAGTGTAGAGTGGCAGCAGGCTGGGGGGGGGGGGGCAGGCCGTGGACGGAATAGTGTAGAGTGGCAGCAGGCTGGGGGGGGGGGGCAGGCCGTGGACGGAATAGTATAAAGTGGCAGCAGGCTGGGGGGGGGGGCAGGCCGTGGACGGAATAGTGTAGAGTGGCAGCAGGCTGGGGGGGGGCAGGCCGTAGACGGAATAGTGTAGAGTGGCAGCAGGCTGGGGGGGGGGGGGCAGGCCGTGGACGGAATAGTATAAAGTGGCAGCAGGCTGGGGGGGGGGGGCAGGCCGTGGACGGAATAGTGTAGAGTGGCAGCAGGCTGGGGGGGGGCAGGCCGTGGACGGAATAGTGTAGAGTGGCAGCAAGCTGGGGGGGGGGCAGGCCGTGGACGGAATAGTATAAAGTGGCAGCAGGCTGGGGGGGGGGGCAGGCCGTGGACGGAATAGTATAAAGTGGCAGCAGGCTGGGGGGGGGCAGGCCGTGGACGGAATAGTATAAAGTGGCAGCAGGCTGGGGGGGGGCAGGCCGTGGACGGAATAGTATAAAGTGGCAGCAGGCTGGGGGGGGGCAGGCCGTGGACGGAATAGTATAAAGTGGCAGCAGGCTGGGGGGGGGCAGGCCGTGGACGGAATAGTATAAAGTGGCAGCAGGCTGGCGGGGGGGCAGGCCGTGGACGGAATAGTATAAAGTGGCAGCAGGCTGGCGGGGGGGCAGGCCGTGGACGGAATAGTATAAAGTGGCAGCAGGCTGGGGGGGGCAGGCCGTGGACGGAATATTAAAGTGGCAGCAGGCTGGGGGGAGGGGCAGGCCGTGGACGGAATAGTGTAGAGTGGCAGCAGGCTGGGGGGGGGGCAGGCCGTGGACGGAATAGTATAAAGTGGCAGCAGGCTGGGGGGAGGGGGCAGGCCGTGGACGGAATAGTGTAGAGTGGCAGCAGGCTGGGGGGGGGGCAGGCCGTGGACGGAATAGTATAAAGTGGCAGCAGGCTGGGGGGGGGCAGGCCGTGGACGGAATATTAAAGTGGCAGCAGGCTGGGGGGGGGGCAGGCCGTGGACGGAATATTAAAGTGGCAGCAGGCTGGGGGGGGGGCAGGCCGTGGACGGAATATTAAAGTGGCAGCAGGCTGGGGGGGGCAGGCCGTGGACGGAATATTAAAGTGGCAGCAGGCTGGGGGGGGCAGGCCGTGGACGGAATATTAAAGTGGCAGCAGGCTGGGGGGGGCAGGCCGTGGACGGAATATTAAAGTGGCAGCAGGCTGGCAGCAGGGGGGGGGGGGCAGGCCGTGGACGGAATATTAAAGTGGCAGCAGGCTGGGGGGGGGCAGGCCGTGGACGGAATATTAAAGTGGCAGCAGGCTGGGGGGGGGGGCAGGCCGTGGACGGAATATTAAAGTGGCAGCAGGCTGGGGGGGGCAGGCCGTGGACGGAATATTAAAGTGGCAGCAGGCTGGGGGGGGCAGGCCGTGGACGGAATATTAAAGTGGCAGCAGGCTGGGGGGGGGGCAGGCCGTGGACGGAATATTAAAGTGGCAGCAGGCTGGGGGGGGGCAGGCCGTGGACGGAATATTAAAGTGGCAGCAGGCTGGGGGGGGGGGCAGGCCGTGGACGGAATATTAAAGTGGCAGCAGACCGTGGACGGAATAGTGTAGAGTGGCAGCAGGCCGGAGCAGGCCAATCTAGTGCTGATACAACTAAAGCTGAGAAGCTAGTCAAATATTCCAGAAAGAAAATCAGCTTTAATATTTAACCACATCATTTTGAGACAAAGATAATAAGGCTGAAACAAGTACATCTTATAATTTTACGAAAAAAAATAATCAAATCAAGAATGAAATACAATATGACAAACAAGAAAGAAAAGTATAAACCTCCCAGTTCTCCCACACTATACATTATTCCATCGAGCCAGGAGATTCCCCCGGTATGAATAGTCTGGGACTTTGTAGCTTTAAAGCCTCTCTTACCCACGCTATATCCAATTGAATGATAATTTAAAAGATAAAAAGCAAAGCTCCGTTAGTGCCCCACGGGCATGTCCAACAAAAGTGAGACTGGAACAAGTGCGGGAGTAAATATACCAGAGATAGTCCATTATACCATAGCTATCCCCCCCACCCACACCCCTAGCCGCTGCCTGCCTCCTTCACTGATGCCACTTTGGCACCAGAAAAAACAACAGCGGCTGGCTCATCGCCTTCTACCAGAGAAAAGTCATATGCAGATGACTGTGGAAGGCAATCTCCATATTGCTAAGGGGTAATAGAGTCTGATATAACTGATATGCTTTTGGCCCGAACACGTACAGGAAGTTTGAAGAAATAATTGTGGGGTTTGGAGTTGAGGTGAGTGTTGCCTGCCCGGCCGCCAGAGTGGGGGATGGTGTAGTCTGCTCCTGTCCGTTTACTCATTACAATTTGGAACACACTGCCCTACTTCTCATATATCACTAAGGCTAGTTGCACTCTAAACTTTGTTCTTGCTAAATGTCAAACGTTTTAAATGAACTTGAAGGAGGGGAAATATAGCACAAATAAAGGCAAAATGGGAAAAGTAATGGATGAATGTTTATGAAATAGTGTAACATTCTAGTGAAAGACATGTCAGACATGTTTTCTCTAACCTTTCTTCCTTTGCCAAGTCTGTTTACTTAAGGAAAGTAAAGATGTACATACATTTACCAAACACTGCTATAATATTATTTATATATATTCATTTGAGCAAACAAAATCTTTTCGAAGAAATAAAGTACAAAAGATTATAAATCCGTAAGTCACCCCCGGGAGTCCCCAATCACCTCCCCTCCCACCGGGGCGGCCCCCATCCCACAAGACCCCATCCCTCCCATCTCCCACCCCAATCCCCCTCCACCTCATCCCCTCTCCGCCCCATCCCCCGGCCGGACGCCACCAGACCCCCACCGCCCGATTGATGACGTGCCAAATATTATCTTCTTTGCTAATTTTATTTGCCGCTACTACAGACTGAAAACAATATTTATTTACAGTATTCTTGTAGGTGAATTATAATATTATATTGTAAGATTAAACTTGATGTAGGTCGTGGCGTTTCCGTGAAAAATCAATTGTGGCAACATGTGGCATCTATTCTCAGATCTGGGACGGTGTTCTAGCGACTTTCAGTTCTAGTGCTTGTAAAATGGCCGTCGTAGTGTCATCCTTTCGTCAGTTCTCGTAAAAATTTATCCTTTTTACACCCTGAAATTTAATATTTTGAGTCAAGATTCACTTGGAATTTAAGTTTGAGGTATAGAGAAGCCACATAGTAAGTGATTTTCCATTTGAGTAAGTCTAAGTGGAAAAATTCGATTGGAAAGAAGCGAATGTAGAGAAAGAAAGGCTGGCGAGCCTGTGTTCCAACTTGTTATCGTTGAAAACAGTTTTAATCCATCTGTAAGTAGAAATCTTGAAATATCTGCGTCAGTGTAAGGTGGCAGGGGCCTACGGGCGTCCTGGGTAGTGGCCTAATACGGGAATTACTTCACCTAGCGCTCAACTCGCTGGCATCCTGAAGAAATGGAGAGTTCAGCAAGGCGGCTGATGTGTGGATTTGGCACAAACTTACTTTTTGTGCCCTTGTAGACCTTCGATGGAGTCTTAAAGTCCGCTTCGATGCCAAGGTAAGATGCCCTTTTAACTTTTCCTCGGGCAAGTTTTAATCTTTGTATAGTACAATGTGACGTGACGGAGGTGGGCAGGTGGCACTCAATTATAACAAAGGGGACGGGCTAACCATGTGCTCGGGGGGGGGGGGGTTAAACCTGTCAGGTGCTAGTGTGTCCCCTGGGCCAGACCAGCAGGTGTGACGGTCACACTGCTCCAGGGGCTAGTGTGTCCCCTGGGCCAGACCAGCAGGTGTGACGGTCACACTGCTCCAGGGGCTAGTGTGTCCCCTGGGCCAGACCAGCAGGTGTGTCCCCTGGGCCAGCCACCAGCAGGTGTGACGGTCACACTGCTCCAGGGGCTAGTGTGTCCCCTGGGCCAGACCAGCAGGTGTGACGGTCACACTGCTCCAGGGGCTAGTGTGTCCCCTGGGCCAGACCAGCAGGTGTGACGGTCACACTGCTCCAGGGGCTAGTGTGTCCCCTGGGCCAGACCAGCAGGTGTGACGGTCACACTGCTCCAGGGGCTAGTGTGTCCTCTGGGCCAGACCAGCAGGTGTGACGGTCACACTGCTCCAAGGGCTAGTGTGTCCCCTGGGCCAGACCAGCAGGTGTGACGATCACACTGCTCCAGGGGCTAGTGTGTCCCCTGGGCCAGACCAGCAGGTGTGACGGTCACACTGCTCCAGGGGCTAGTGTGTCCCCTGGGCCAGACCAGCAGGTGTGTGACGTGTGGGCCAGACCAGCAGGTGTGACACACTGCTCCAGGGGCTAGTGTGTCCCCTGGGCCAGACCAGCAGGTGTGACGGTCACACTGCTCCGGGTGCTAGTGTGTCCCCTGGGCCAGACCAGCAGGTGTGACGGTCACACTGCTCCAGGTGCTAGTGTGTCCCCTGGGCCAGACCAGCAGGTGTGACGGTCACACTGCTCCAGGTGCTAGTGTGTCCCCTGGGCCAGACCAGCAGGTGTGACGGTCACACTGCTCCAGGGTGCTAGTGTGTCTCCTGGGCCAGACCAGCAGGTGTGACGGTCACACTGCTCCAGGGTGCTAGTGTGTCTCCTGGGCCAGACCAGCAGGTGTGACGGTCACACTGCTCCAGGTGCTAGTGTGTCCCCTGGGCCAGACCAGCTGGTGTGACGGTCACAGCCACACTGCACTGAGGGCAGGGACGACGTAATGGATGAGTTCGTCCACTTTTTTTCATTCGTAAATGTGGGGCATGTTTGACAGCTTCGGGCTGTGAGCAAGACGGCCTCGCCTCTTAATATTTTGATCATACTAAGATGTAAATTTTGTATGATAGTGTCAGATTAAAAGACGGTCTTATAATTGTGTAAATTTTTATGTAACAGTGCTAGCGTTTCAACTTTTTTTTTATGAAAACACTTAAAAAATCGCTCAAGAGCAGTGGTATTTTCATTCATCGACCATCGGAGCAGCTCCGACAGTACAGTATTACTTTGTGGTATATCAGCGTCTTCACGAAGTCTTTAACATATTTTCCTGAATAATAATCAAGCAGGGAAAAGATTTTAAATTATTTTATAATTGGGAAAGATAATTAAATAGTAATTATTCAGTACTAGACCGAGATATATCATTGTAGCCTACTTAAAGAGGAATTGCACACAGCATCATAAATTTATGCAAAATAGATTGAAACAGTGTTTAATATTGTTTTCATAGTGAAAAATGTTATTTTACAAAAAAATAGAATCCAAGAGGAAATAATTTGATAGTAGTTGCAGTGTTTGGCCAGCTTTTTAAAGTTGACGTTTCATAACACAAAGGCTTAGGCTAACGCGGTCCACTTTCATTAACTCCAATGCGGTGCAGCAATAGACAGTGTTGATGACTAGTGCTACGCTCTCCAACACGTTGTACATGAAAGCTAAATCAAATTTGGCAATACAGGATAAACTCGCTGGATAAAACGTGTTCTGGTTTCGAAAGTTTTCCATATTAAGTGACATGTTTATATTAATTTGCGAATCGGGTGTAATACTGTCTTTAGTGCAGTGTAAGGTAAATTATGTATATTTTGTTGTTTGGTCGTTGTGATTTGAGTACGTTTAGGCCAGGCTTGACTTTTAATAACTGTCCGGAAGGCTGTTGCTTGAAGCGGCCCGCAGGCACACATATCCTCGACAACTCTGTTAGTTCGGCATTTCCTGCAGGGACTTACTTGTCTAATTATTTCTTGAACACATCCACTTTTGTTCCGGTAATATTGAATAGCCGTGGCATTCAGGTTGTTCACACATTGCTCTCCGATTGTGCTATAGAACAATCACTGGGTCTATTATACCCAGTATAATTATTATATTCACTGGGGTCTATTATACGTTATCTACCATATCGCACATTAGAGAATTTATACCATCTATAGTAGGCTAACATATTTTATGGCAAAACTGATAAAATTCGAGCTTATTAAAAATAAAAACCTTGAATAGAATGTATAAATAAAAATGTGTTTACAGTATACGCATGTACAGTGTATTTGATTAAGTAGTTTGTTGTATTGATATTCGCTTTCCATATATTATACCACTCTTACTGCTGCGTACGTGTACACACGTGTACTGTATTTGGTAGACAGTTGAGAAATAAAAGACCTGGCTCGTGGTTATGGAACTATGTAAAGACATTGTTATAATGTGAATTTTAGTTCAATTTGCGAGATTTTGGTGATGCTGTAATATAAATTGTATATTAACTTTTTTTTAAATAATGATTTCGTTTTAGTAAAAATGTATAGTAACCCTTCAGTTAATCATATAATTTTTTCGAACGGCTATGAGTAGGGCCTAACATGTTTGGTTCAGCCTGTTATTGGTATGTTCTTTTATTTATATTAATGTGATATTAACTGAACTTATTTTCAGCTCGTAAACTAGAGAAACGTAATTTACTTACAGATTGTGATTCTCCTTAGCCTATATCGTTAGCTATTGCTAATTAATTATAAATTTAGAATCTCCACTTTGCGTTTATGAATTTAGTGTCGCTTCCTAACGTGTTACAGTAGTTAACGAAATTTAGGTTCTGAGCAAATGGTCGGGAATTGCGCTTCAGTTGCCCAGTATTAAAAAGCAGATACATAATAATAAAATAGATACATAATAATGATATCCATATAAATATTTAAGTATGAAAGTGATCTTGTGGGTGTTAATGGTTTAACCTTTAGCAATTTTTACGCTTTAGCACTTTACGAAAATTCATGAGAAAATATTTTTGGGAAATTATTTTATACTAAACTAGGCTATGTTTTTATTGACATTTCAAGACCATCTCCTACATTATGATTAGCAACTATCGAAGTAAACATAACGATATGCTATTATAAACAAAATTAAGATGTTGGAAATGTGCTTCATAACATAAAAAAATATTTCTGGTATTCCTCTTGGTGTTATTGTAATACTCTCGTATATGGATGATTTCTTGGGAGCTAAAATTGTATATGATGCTTCAGAAAATTGGAAAAAATTAACTTCTCTTATCACAACAGATAATTCGGCAGATTATATTAGATGTTTTGGAAATAATACAGGATTGAGAAAAAAACAAAACATCGCAGAAAAAAAGGCAATACACAGATAACGTTGTATCTTTGAAGTACAGGATCAAAAAAAAGTCAACGTTAAAAGTTAAATGAGCAAGAAGACCGCCAGCTTCCTCATGAACAACTCTCCCGACACCACGCGAAACGCCTTGAAAGAGATGAGTGTCGTCTATGATTTCAGCCCGGTTGGGGGACCGTCAGCCCTCAACGATCTCAGTATGCAAGCAAGACAACAACATTTCTTTTAAGGCACCTGACAGTGCGCAAATAACAAGGCTCCATCAGAGAACATATAATGTAATTTCTATACACAATCAGATCAACAACTGTGATAGCCTAACCAACAACGCCAAAATATTCAAGAAATACGACAATTGAGGATTAGGCATCTTTAGATATCGTTACATATCAAACATTCTTAACCATCTATTAACAACCAGCTCACATGGGTATATTCTTTCATCCTCAACCTTACCACGGCCTTTCGGTTACCTCTCGATGATTACAAGAATCAACGTCCACGCGGCCCGGTTGGTTTCGCCAAACTTTTGAAATGCCACTATTGTATATATATATATATATATATATATATATATATATATATATATATATATATATATATATATATATATATATATATATATATATATATATATATATATATATATATATATATATATACAGGGTGTATACTGGCTGCAAGTTTTCTTTTATGCATGTCTCACTGAATATGACAGCATATTCCGCATTTACTATTTTCCGATTTAGGGCTTCTATCCCTCTTACTAATGCTCTTGCATCAGGGTTCAGCTGGACGAGGAATTCACCAAAAGTCATGTTGTTTTCAAGGTGAAGAAAAAGAATTGAATAACTGAAGAATGTATTACACTAATTATAAAATCGTTAATTTTGCTAGTAGTTAATTTTTATTACACTAATTATAAAATCATTAATTTTGCGATTTTATAATTAGTGTAATACATGCTTCAGTTATTCAATTCTTTTTCTTCACCTTGAAAACAACATGACTTTTGGTGAACTCCTCTTGTATATATATATATATATATATATATATATATATATATATATATATATATATATATATATATATATATATATATATATATATATATATATATATATATATATATACATATATACATATACATATATATATACACACTTGCGTTTGCGTACCACCATTTCAATAGTGGCCTCGACGAGGACAGGAAGCCGGTGACTTGTTAAAGGTCCCCAACATTTGACCAGGTGATCTTTCCTCTGGATTTTGAATTACAGCAATGTTTTGGTATTTACGGCTTCGGCGGATATATTCATATATTTGCGAACAAGCCTGAATGGTCCCCAGGACTTCTGGGGTGTGAGTTTTCAGATTCATATATTTAAATGTATATACTTTCATATACATATATATATATATATATA